CCTCCTGAGTAGCTGGGACTACAGGCCAGTGCCATGACGCCCGGCTAATTTTTCTATTTTTAGTAGAGACGGGCTCTCGCTCTTGCTCAGGCTGGTCTCGAACTCCTGACCTCAAATAATCCACCTGCCCTGGCCTCCCAGAGTGCTAGGATTACAGGCGTGAGCCACCGCTCCCAGCCAGGGATTCTCAAATGAGATGATAGCCACTGAGATATGGAGGGAGATAAAAAATCTTAATGGTTTCATGAAGAATAAGTTTTTTACCTACATCAACCATTTTAATCGTATACACACCATAACTTTTAATATTCTTTTTATATTTCTGTTTTCACTTGCACTTAATATCCTGTGGTAGAATGTTTTTTCCCCCTCCAAATATTCACTTTCTCTCTCTGGACCCATGTCTACACTCCATGTGGTGTTCTCCCCCCCACCGCCCCCAGACCCTGGGAAGCAGGCTGAAAGAGCAGCTCCCATTTCGGACTTGCTGTTCTCAAAGCAGAGCAGAGGGTAAGAGAGTGATGGCAGAACAGAGGCTTTCAGCGCCATCATGCAGCTCTGTCTTCATTCTTATTCCCTCTCCTCTGAGAACGGCATGTCTCAAATTAGCTGCTCTTTCAAACTGAAAACCAGAAAGAAGAAAACATATGAAGCACAGTCACAGCTGATTCACAGTCAGCAAGTAACACAAGTAAGGTATAAACCCTTGCTGTAAGCTACTGAGGTTTTGCGGTTGTTTGTTACCACAGCATTAACCCTGCGAGAACTAAATAATACCATCTCTTTATGGATGTGTTTGGTACCAATGGCACCAAGATAAAACATGCGCGCGCGCGCACACACACACACACACACACACACACACACACACACACACACGAGAAAGCTTGTATCTTACTGTATTCATCTCTCTCCTGTAAAGAGAAAAGTAAAGTCAGGAGCATCTCAGAGATGAGATACCCTAATGCACCATGGGCTGTATATGCAATTGGCCTCCATCAATGGCTGGTGACAACCAGTCTTCGGAATTTTGATACGCTAACTCAGAATTCTGAGTGTACAAGAAACGGGTATTATATTCCCTGCATGTACTGAAGACTGACATACAGGTAATGAAGGAACTATTACTAAGAAGTATTTCTTTAGTTTAAAATGCACTCATTGGTGACGGAAAGAAAAGTTAAGGAATTGTACCACACGAAGAGAAACTGAAAAGAAGCCAAAAGACGACTAGAAGAAAAAAGGGCAGCAAATCAAAGTAAGTGAAAACCTGATAATACACAATTCTCATGTTTGAATTCCCATATCCTCAAAGAAAGGCAGCAAGTAAGTTTGTACAAGACTTGCTCACCTGCTATGGTTCCCAAACTGTGCACCCAAGGGGTACCCTAGAGTACATCAAATTTTTTAAGGAAACACAGACACTTTGAAAACACTACTTCTATTATAAACTAAAATCACCATTAAGTTGTTTGGCCTGAACTACTTAATGAATGGAACTGTTAGTTATTTCTTTCTACTAGTTTAGAGACACTGGTTTAAAAAACACTCTCAAACCACAATAATCAACACAGAAGATGACTTCTGTGACCAAACGTGGGGTTCTTCCGAACAAAGCAAGCAGTGCACACCAAACATTTGTGCTCTGATTCAATTCCGACACTACCTGGAGATAGAGTCAGTCCTCAAAACTGCCCCCCACCAAGACACCAATCACAAGTCTGGGCCTCCAGAACTTCTGACCAACCAGCTTCAAGTTCGGGTTCCCACAACCCGCTCTTAGGGTTCAATTAATTTGCTGGAGTGGCTCATAGAACTCATGGAAACACTTACTTACAATTACTGGCTTATTACAAAGGATACAGATGAAGAGCTGTGTAGGGCCAGGTGTGGGGGAAGGGGCATGGGGCTTCCATGGCTTCCAGGGTGCGCCAGCCTCTAGGAACCTCCATGCTCAGCTATCCAGAAGCTCCCTAAACCCAGTCCTTGGAGGCTTTTATAGACAATTTTGTAGAAGAAAAGCAATTAGCCCTCAGGGTACAGGGCAGGACCCTCTCTGGAATGAGGGTCTTAAGACTCATAATCAGAAAGGTAGGGGAAGATTAGAGTCCTGCCCTGGGGCAGGTGAAGGTCAGAGAGATTCTGTTTCCTGAGGCCTAACACACCCAACATTTTAACAAAAGACTATAACAAGGGTTACGAGAGTTATGAGTCAGACACTGTGGTCCAAAAACTATGTATATATGTATATACCATAGCACTACAGACCTAAAAAATTACTAAGACACTAAAGGAACTTCTAGCTTAACCTATTTTACTGATAAACTAACACCACATAGTTCCAAAACTCTTAGTCTCAATTTAGAGTTTTTTTTCTATAGCATTTCTTTTGTTTTTCCTATAAAAATTCCTTCGAAGTGCTAAAGTGCATCAATACTATTTAGAAGCAGTTCAGCGAGATTTCAGGAGGGCCTGCTAGGTACTCATGAGTAACCTAGTGGACATGTTATCCAGCCAGCATTGAATGAAAGGCTAGTAAGCTAGTCAGTAACACCAAGAAAAAGAACAACTTTCTACACCCTTTTTAGAGATAAATGAAACAAAAACCTCAAGAAAGAAGGTACTAATTGGGGCATTTCACTACCAATATGTAAGAGAAAAAAAAACTAGATCCTTTTAAGTGTGGCTCACAACAATGTGTAACTATCGTTTTACGCTTCTAAGCAACGTTTTCCTGAAATGGTAGAATTTGCGCCCAGTAATGCCAGAGCACTGTAGTCCAAAAACTTCAGGTCTTAAGACTTTCAAAGACTTTAGTTAAAATTATATGAAATGCATTATGTATTTCCTTCAATGTATGTTCTCGAATGGATGCTAAAAAGTAAAACTCTGTATTTTGAATTATATTTTCCTAATATAATAAGATCGGAACTAGGTTTTCCAAGAAAATTTCTGACCCCTAGAAAATAAATCACTAATTT